AAAACTGAAACAAGACCCATACCTCACACCATGCACAAAAACTAACTCAAAATGGATCAAAGACCTAAATATAAAATCAAAAACGATAAAGATCATGGAAGAAAAAATAGGGACAATGCTAGCAGCCTTAATACATGGCATAAACAGAATACAAACCATAAGTAACAATGCACAAACACCAAAAGAGAAACTAGGTAACTGGGAGTGCCTAAAAATCAAACATTTATGCTCATCAAAAGACTTCACCAAAAGAGTAAAAAGACAACCTACGGACTGGGAAAAAATTTTGGCTACTACAAATCTGATCAGCTTCTAATCTCTAAAATCTACAAGATACTGCAAAACCTCAACAACAAAAAGACAAATAACCCAATTAAAAAATGGGCAAAGCATATGAACAGGCACTGCACAAAGAAGACAGTCATTAGCCATTAGAGAAATGCAGATCAAAACGAGGTACCATCTCACCCCAGCAAGTCTAGCATTAATCCAAAAAACACAAAATAATAAATGCTGGAGAGGTTGTGGAAAGAGTGGAACACTTATACACTGTTGGTGGAAATGTAAAATGATACAACCATTTTGGAAATCGATTTGGCACTTCCTTAAAAAGCTAGAAATAGAAGTACCATATGATCCAGCAATCCTGCTCCTTGGAATATATCCTAGAGAAATAAGAGCCATCACATGACTAGATATATGCACACCCATGTTCACTGCAGCACTGTTCACAATAGCAAAAAGATGGAAACAACCTAGGTGCCCATCAATGGACGAATGGATAAACGAATTATGGTATATCCACACAAAAGAATACTACCAACGATAAAGAACAACGATGAAGCCGTGAAACATAACATGGAGGAAGCCAGAGGTCATTATGTTGAGTGAAGCTAGTCAGTCACAGAAGGCCAAATATTGTATAAGACCACTATTATAAGAACTCAAGAAAAGGTTTAAACACAGAAGAAAACATTCTTTGATGGTTACAAGGGTGGGGCGAGAGGGTGAGGGTTATTTACTAACTAGATAGTAGATTAGAATTATCTTAGGTGAAGGGAAGGGCAGCACACACTACAGGGGAAGTCAGCACAACTGGACTAAACCAAAGCTAAGAAGTTTTCTGAATATAATCAAACACTTCAAGGGACTGAGTAGCAGGGGTGGGGATCTGGAGACCATGCTTTCAGGGGACATCTAGGTCAACTGGCATAACAAAGCTTATTAAGAAAATGTTCTGCATCCTACTTTGGTGAGTGGCATCGGGGGTCTTAAAAGCTTGCAAGAGGCCATCTAAGATGCATCAATTGGTCCCAAGCACCTGGGGTAAAGGAGAATGAGGAACACCAAAGACACAAGGGAACTACTGGCCCAAGAGACAAAAAGGGCCACATAAACCAGAGACTTCCTCAGCTTGAGACCAGAGGAACTAGATTGTGACCAATGACCACCTTGACAGGGAACACAACAAAGAGTCCCTGATGGAGCAGGAGAAAAGTAGGGTGCAGAACTCAAATTCTAGTAAAAAGTCCAGACTTAATGGTCTGACTGAAACTGGAGGAACCCCAGAAAGCATGGCCCCCAAACTCTCTGTCAACCCAGAACTAAAACCATTCCCAAGGCCAACTCTTCAGACAAAGATTGGACTGGACTGTGGGACATAAAATGATACTCATGACGAGTGTGCTTCTTAGCTCAAGTAGACACATGCGACTAAATAGGCAGTTTCCGTCCGGAGTTCAAATAAGAAGGCAGAGAGGGTTAGGAGCTGGTTGACTGGACATGGGAGATCAGGATTGGAAAGGAGGAGTGTGCTGTCACAATATAGGGAGAGCAATTAGGGTCACAAAACAACGTATGTATAAATTTTTGTATGAGAGACTAACTTGAATTGTAAACTTTCACTTAAACTACAACAATAAAAAAAAAAAAAAAAAAGATTTCGGCCTAGGAAACCCTATAGGGCAGTTCTACTCTGTCATGTAGAGTTGCTAATGGGTCGGAATTGACTCAACAGCACACAACAGCAACTGAGCTACAGAGGAAAATACTGGGGGCCAAGAAGATGGTGGGGACTGGGGAGGGAAGTAATCAAAAGTTCAAATTGGGCCACGTTATGCTTAAGGAGAAGCCAAAAGACACGTTAAACATTTTAACTAGAAATATGTATAGGTGAAAATTATGAGAATAACCAGAGAAGAAAACTAGGAGTTAAGACGAGATTTGAAACGAGAGGTGTAGGTGGGTACAGATTTAGTGGATTCTATCCAGCCAAAAAACGGAAAAAGAGGTTAAAATCAGAGAAAGGAATTTCAGGATTTTCAAGTTCTGGGTGATGACAAATAACAAGAACACCAACAAAGGCTGTGATTTACTGAATGCTGATCAAGGGTCAGGCAAAGGTCCAAGCACTTTTCATATACTTTCTGATTATACAATATCTAAGATACATGCTGTTATCTCCATTTTATAGATGGGAAAATGGGTTCAGAGAAATAAAGTAACTTAACTGTACAGTTTAGTAAACAATTAACCCTGCTGAAGTCAAGCAGTACTTTAAAATACCTTACAAGTTATCAATATGGATACTGAGTTGACACAGTGAAAGTCATCATGACATACGCCAGTATTTTGATTCCCATCCCAAATGACTGCCTTGCCAAGCTTGGGGCAAACAGACTAATCAGGCTTGGACCATCTCCACTCTACCTGTGGAGCCCGAGTTAGTGGTATAATGTCCTGTATGTCTCTACAGGTACAGAAGTATGCTGGGACACACCAAAAAAACAGACACAATTCGGGACCAGCCAAAGGAATTCAAGGAATTGGACCTACCCGTTCCATAATGAGAATCCCTAGTGTTTAGGGAAACAATCACGCCTTTCTAGAGCCTTAAATCCTTGACACTCCTAAGTATGTACCCTGGAGAAACTCTTGCACATGTACAGAGGATGTGCATAATAATGTTCTCAACATCACTGTTCACAGTAAAGAAACTGAAAACATTTCCAATGTCCATCCACGGTAGACTGGATAAATACACTGTGACCTATTCATCCAATGGAGTAGTGTACTGTTGTGAGAAAACACTACAACCACATGCATCAACAACGATGAATCTCAAAAATTCAACACTGAGCAAACATGGCGAGTCAAGAGAATACAGAGTATGATCCCATTTTTGAATGCTCAAAAGCAGGAAAGCCAAGCAAAACAGTCTTTTTTCCTGATACATATGTGGGGGAAACCTT